GCTTTCTCAAGGAGATTAGCTGAGAAGGTAAGGAGACATAGGAAAACAGCTAGCAGGGATAAAAGGATCATGTGAGGGCCTTTTAAGGAATGGGGAGCAATGGGCACATGGCTATAGTTTTCAGGGAAGGAGCCAGTAGATAGGGAGAGATTGAAGATGAGAGAGTGGCAATGAGAGTGGGAGCAAACTCCTGGAGAAGACAGAAGGGATGAGCTCTAGGGTGCATGTAGAGGGGCTGGCTTTGGCAAAGAGAAAATCCACTTCTTCTGAGACCAAAGTGAAGGAAATAGTAAAGATATATGAGAGCTATGCAAGGAAGTAAGGAGAGAGAGAATAGCTTCAGTGTTTTTGGTAAAGTATGTATGCAGTGTGGTTCTCCAGCTAAGAAAGTGTGGGAAAGGAAGAGGGGATGCTATTGAGGAGAGATAAAAAGGTTAGAAATGGCCATGATGGAGAGTGAGATAGTGAATTGATTAGAGAGTAATTGCCTTGCTGCAGTGAGGGCCCAGCTGAGATTAGATAACGTGTATTTGTAGTAAACCAAATCAACCTGATTTTGTGATTTACTTCAGATCTGTACATGAATAGATGCAAAGTAGGCATTTGGTGGGGAGGTAGCAAGACATGATCAGCATATTCAAGGATTTATTGGTAGATGTTTAACAACAGGTAGGACACGCTCTAAAGTTTATCTACATCATTAATATTTTCTCCATCACTTTCTAAAGTCAAGATAATCAACAAAACAATAGTTCAAGTCCTAATCTGTAGTGTTTGGAGATTTCCCTATTCATACTGAAAATTTAACAGTTGACGTTGTTGGTAGAGCCAGTACAAACTAGCTCTAGCACACCCCTAAACAAACTGGACAAAGGGGTAAGGAATTTGAAAGTAGATGATAGCATAGAGTTGAATTGGTTTACCAATGCGTAAAAACAGGAAAGGGAAGAGAGTGTAGCCAGTGCAGTGTCCTTAGCCTTGGTAAAGAATTGAGGGGTAGAGAGAAAACAGGTCATAGTGAGGATAAATAATGGGTTAAAAGTTGTAAGGTACAGGGGAAAATGGAATGATAAAAGATTATGATCAGTTAAAGAAATTTCAGAGATCATGAACATGGAAGTGGAGCATTGGTGGGTAATAGCACGATCAAGGTTGTAATCTCTGCTGTAAGGATGGAAAAGGGGAGAGTAGAATAGAAACAGGATATGTTGAGGAACTAGTAATTTATGGTGTTTGAGGGAATGTCTCTTCTCTCTCTCTCTCTCCCTCTCTCTCTCTCTCTTTCTCTTTCTCTCTCTCTCTCTCTCTCCCCTACTAGGAGAGCAAAAATTGGATGGGGAAAAAAAAGGCAGTAAGCCAGGCACTCATTGAGCTAATTGAGGAAGGACAAAGAATGTCCTGAGGGTGTGTGTGTGTGTGTATATACATATGTGTATGTATGTATATGGACTTAGTACATGTTTATTGAATGAATGAGTAGAATTATTTAAAAGGATTGTGCTTTATAAACTATAACATGTAATACAAATGTGAACTAATCTATTATCCTCTTTTTAAAATATCTTTTGAACCAATCCCTCCTCTCTAATCCCACTGCCATCTCCCTATCACATATCCTCATTACCTCCCACCTGGACTATTAAAATGTCCTCCAATCAGATCTTCTTATCTCCACCCTTGTACTGTGTCTCCCTTCAATCTATCCTTCATATTCATGCAAAGGTTATATCACCACCACCACCACCACCTCCCACCCTTCCCTCTTCAAAACCCTTCAGTGACTCTTTGTTGCCTACCAAATAAAGTTCAACCTCTGATTTGACATTCAAGGTCCTCCAAAACCTGGTACTACACTACCTTTCTAGCTTTATTATTCCCTCTTGGGTACCCTACACTTCAGCCAAATTGAAAACTGGTCTACTCACCATCCCCTAATCCCCTACTCACCATCCCCTGATCCCCTACTCAACACACACCCTTCTACTCGCCTTTCCTCACACAATTCCTTTCGTGTGAAATCTTCACCTAGTCCCCAATTCCTACACAAGCCCAATTCAAATGTTACTTTCTCTAAGAATCTTCCTTGATCTCATTGATCCTCTTCTTCTTACCTACCAACAGCAAATAATTACCTGCCTTTCACTCAGATTTTATATAGCATTTGATCTGCACTTCTCTTATATACTTAATTTTTATAATTTTCCAGTGTGATTATTTGTATATTATGTCATGTTCCTATCAGACTTTAAGATTTCTGAGAGCAGTGGCAATGTGTCATCTAAATTTCCTATCTCCTTCATCATGCAGTACAATGTTCTTCAGGTAATAGGCATTTAATAAATATTTATTAAAGTGAGGTGTATTGTTGAGAAATATCATTAGCATCTTGACAATAGTACTACTCATGCCTTACCTATATAGTTTTTCATTTTAAAAAATGTTTTTATTCACGCCTTTTGTTTTGACATCACATTCATTTACAGTTAAATCCCTTTTCCAACCCCAATGTGGAGTCTTCATAGGATCATAGATCATCTGACCTGACTCCTTCATTTTACAATTGAGGAAACTGAGGCACAGACAAGTTAAATGACTTGTCCAAAGTCACAGAGATACACAAAGTAGCAGAGGCAGGATTGAATCCAGGGCCTAGGATTCCAAAACCAGCACTTTTCTACATTTTCCCTTTAACAAAGATTAAAAAAAAATAAACACAACTAAACCAACTCAACTACAGCTGACTATTGCTACATGCAACATTCCATATCCATCCATCTTCACAGATTCAATGAAAAGAAGTGAATTTTCTTAACTCTTCATCAGGGCAAAGTTTAGTCTTTATAATTACCCAATGTTCTGTTTCATTAAATTGTTATTTTATTTACTCTATTATAGTCACTATCTATTTTGTTTTTCTAGTTCTGCTTACCACTAGATCCCAATTAGTACAAATAATGAATCCCTTGAAGTGGTCAAATGTATTCAGATTTGCACTATTAGAAGTTTTAATTATGTAAAATATGGTAATTGGTTCCAGCCTAATGGAAATATGCTATGTGAATCTGAATACAGCAGGAACTTTAGGGGAAATTTCTTATTTGCATTAATCAAGACCTAGCTAGTATTATATGAGCCCACATTAATTCATGTAAGATTCCTCATGCTTCTTAGAATTTTTAAGGTACTGATTAATAGAAATATATATGGAATACACACACACACACACACACACACACAACCCTATTTGTGTCTAATGGTGACCATCTCTAGGGGGGAGAAGAGGGAAGAAAAAAAGTTTACATGATAATTTTGTTGCATATTTGAAAGGAATAGCAAGTACGTAGCTGATTTGTAGCTTCATGTGTAATCATCTTTTTATTATACTATGTTATGGAAATGCTTGTTTTATTCCATAAATTAAAAAATTAATTCTTTTAAAAAAAGAATTTTTAAGGCACAGTAATATTCTATTATCATCATGTTCGATAGTTTATCTAGCCATTCCTTAATTGCTGGGTACTTATTTTGTTTCCAGTTCATTGCTACCACAAAAATTGCTGCATTATTATTTTGGTACATATGGGAACATCACATATTTGACCACCTTGGGGGTGTTCACCCAGCAGTAGAATCTGTGGGCCAAATGGCATGGATATTTTAGGCATTTTTTTTTTTGGTGAGGCAATAGGGGTTAAGTGACTTACCCAGGGTCACACAGCTAGTAAGTGTCAAGTGTGTGAGGCCAGATTTGAACTCAGGTCCTCCTGACTCCAAGGCTGGAGCTCTATCCACTGTGCCACCTAGCTGCCCCCCCATTTTAGGCACTTCTTAAAAGCATAATTCCAAATTATTTGGTGTTTTTCTTTTTATGAAGAACTTCTTAAAATTTAATTTTTAATTGAAATTTTTAATTGAAATTTTTTTAACAAAACTTTCATTTCTGAATTTATCACTCCCATTTCCCCTCTGCACATAGTCATCCTTTGTAATAAAGGATAAAAAAGAGAAAAGGGAAAAGGCAATTCAGGAATATTAATCAAAACATGAACCAAGTCTGTAAATGTAGTATTTCACACCCAGAGCCCCCCACTCCTACAAAGAAGGAAAGAGGTGTGGTCAAAGTACCTGGAAAAGTATTTTTGCCGTAACAGTATAGAGAAGGTATTTTGTAAATACAGAAAGATTTAAGTGACAAGCTTTCTCTCCTCTTCTTTTAAAATGAATGATTCCTCTTTTCTTCTCTACCTCTCAGGTACATAGTGGGCTTCTTAATTGTTGACTAACTGGGATTCTGCTATGTGTGTTTTATGTTTCTGGCTGGCAATGTTAACCAGGTAAGGAAGGCCCTTTAGGAGTGAGATAAATGGACTTCTCCTTTGAATTCTCTCTTTCAAATTAACCAGAAGTAGGGAAAGGCCTCCCAGTTAAGCATTTACACCATACCTTTTGTTTGATCCTGGTGCCTGTCCACTCTTAGAGACGTATTGGTGATGATTGGGACTGCAAATCCTGGGGTTTAATGATGCTCAAGTTGTCCAGTCCAGGAGTTCTTAATCTTTGTTGTGTCATGAACCCCTTTGACAGTCTGGTGAAGTCTTCTCAAAATGTTTTTAAGTAGTTGAAGGAAATGCTAAATTTAAGTTAAAGGTTAGTAATCATAACAATATAATTTTTTTCCTCTCCAAGTTTATGGATGGACTGAAATCTGTCCATGGTACCCCAGTTAAGAAGCTCTTATAAAAGCCACTCTCTACCTGGAGTAGGCAGGATTCCATTGAATCCTACCCAGACACCTAAAGATCTATATTATAGAGCAGATTCACAGAAAGTCTGATCTAACCCAATCACACGTGTTACTACTGGAATGCACTCTTTTGATTCTGTTTTAGTCACCCATGTGCTCTTGGTTTAGGTGAGAGAGCAACCGAAATAGATAACTGCCAAGGTAGCAAGAAGGTGGCCCTGATGCCCTTCATAAATTTATGGGTGTACCTACTCACCTTCCTGTCCTTCTTGGTACTTTCGGTGTTCATCTGCAATCTCAGAAACCTAACCACCTTCTCCGAGTTTGTCAATGTCAGCATGTTAGGGAGCCTGATCACAATCTACCAGTGCATTATCCAGGTCTTGCCCTGATCCTATACAAATGGGAAGGTTGCTTTTGTGACAATAATTCAGTTAGTAAACATTTATTAAGCACCTTCTATGTACCAGGCACTGTGCTAAGTGCTGGAAATACAAAAAGAAGCAAAAGATAATCCCTGCCCTCAAAAAGCTTATTTCTTTTTATTTATTTTTTTTAGGCAATTGAGGTTAAGTGACTTGCCCAAGGTCACACAGCTAGTAAGTGACAAGTATTTGGTTTGAGGCCACATTTGAACTGAGGTCCTCCTGACTTCAGGGGCAGTGCTCTATCCACTGCGCCACCTAGCTGCCCCTCCTTAGAGAACTTATAATCAAATTGGGGACACAAGTAAACAAATATGTACAACCAAGCTATATACAGGATAAATAGGGAATAATTAAGAGAGGGAAGGGACTAGAGTTAAGAAAGGTTGGGAAAGGGTTCCTGTAGGAGATCAGATTTAGTTGGGACTTAAAGGAAGCCAGAAACCAATCGGTAGAGATGAGGAAGCATAACATAACATAACATGAGGAGGCATAGGGGACAGCCAGAGAAAATGCCTAGAGCAGAGATGGAGTGGCTTATTCTCAGAACAGTGAGGAAGCCAGTGTAATGGCATCAAAGAGTATGTGGTAAAGAGTAAGGTGTAAGAAGATTGGAAAGGTAGGAGGGAGCTAGGTTATGAAGGACCAAACAGAGGATTTTGCATTTGATCCTGGAGGCAATAGGGAGCCACTGGAGTTTATTGAGGAGCAGGGCGAGATAGTCAGATCTGCACCTTAGGAAAATCACTTTAGAATGGAGGATAAACTGAAAGGGGGAGAGAGTGGAGGCAGGTAGACCCACCAGCAAGCCATTTCTGTCATACAAGCATTAGGTGATAAGGGTCTGTACGAGAGTGGTGGCAATGTCAGAGGAGAGAAGGGGGATGGGGTATTTGAGAGATGTTGCAAAGGTGAAATTGACAGACCTTGGCAACAAATTAGATATGGGAGGAGTGAGAGATAGCGAGGAGTCGAAGATGATTTCTAGGTTGTGAGCCTGAGGGTCTGAGAGGATGATGTTGTCCTCTACAGTAATAGGGAAGGTAGGAGGGGTAAGGGAGAGTTTAAGGGGAAATACAACGAATTCTGTTTGGGACATGTTGAATTTAAGATGTCTACTGAACATCCATTTTGAGGAAGCTGGGGTAACCCTTGCCTTTTAGCCCATGTACACATTTTTCCAAGTCAAGTTATTGCTGAGAGTGGCATCTCCAGAGGAACGTATGTAGTAGGACTGAATGGACCAAGGACCTCTACAACCAGAGTACTGGGATGTCTTCATAGGCATATAGGCAGCAAGGTTGTACGATGGATAGATAGAGCACGGGATTTGGAGTCAGGAAGATCTAAATTGAAATTCTGCTTCAAACACTTAATAGCTATGTGATCATGAGCAAGTCACCTCACCATCTGTTTCCTCATCTGCAAAATAGGGATAATAATAGCACCTACCTCATAGGCTTGTTGTAAGGATCAAATGAGTTTACATATGTAAAGCTCATTGCAAACCTTAAATTTCTCTATAAATGCTAGCTAGTATTGTAGCTATTTTTTTCTCTTTATTTTCAATGAGCAAAAATTTATTTGCTCTTTCCTACTCTCCCTTTCTACAACAGAAAAAGAAATAAGAAAAAACAACACCTTTGTAACATACACCTTAGTCAAATGAAACAAATTTAGGAGATCTTCACTTACCTGTTCATGAAAGTCAGTGTTATTCCCACAAAACCCACAAAACCTGGGTGTTGATCCCAAGAACAGTGTCATATCTCTTTTGCCCAGGTGAGCAGAGTGCCTTAGACCAGGACCCTACTGAGTCACCAGAGAAGTAGAGATGGTCTCTCTTGGATATACTTGGAAAGAGAGGTGCTGATGCTGAGTCTGTCCTGAATTTGGCTGGTTGCCTTACCTATGAATGCAACCCTGCAGCACTCACAGTTTTTGCCTTTTGAGTTTTTGCCTCTTGAACAAATTTGTTCCCTCTGCCTTAACAAGGAAGCAGGGACTTCAGAAAGGTCAAGATTAAAGTTCATGATTTAACCCGCCAAGAGCTAGCTATGTTGAAATGTTTTGGTCACTGTTTCCTCTCTCCAGAGGTCTCAAACAGAATTGTAAGCTTCTTAAGGAAAGGAAATTTGACATTTAAAAATATGTTTCAATTCTCATGGCCTTGCATGCAATAAGCATTTCACAAATTTTTGTTAAATGAAGGTTACTTCGATTTTGCCCTTTTTGGTGTATCAAGTCTTTATGGTTAAAAAGGACCAGAAACCAGTTTTCAAAGTTATATGTATTTTTCTTTTTTAGGGAATACTGGCTCCTGGTAGCCTCTTTCTGGTGACAAACTGAAAGGCATACTCTTCTGAACTGCTATCTTTGCATTTGAAGGTATTGGCATGGTAAAATTTGAATTGGGTATTTTTCTGCAGAGGAGCCAGGAGTTCTGAATTTCAGGGAATTTTAGAGGAAAAGGGAGGGAAGAGAATTAACATTTATTAAGTAGCTACTATATGCCAGGCACTGTGTTAAGAGCTTTACAAATATCTCATTTAATCTTCAAACAACCCTGGGAAGTATATCCTGTTACTATAGTTGAGGAAGTTGAGACAGAAGTTAAGGGACTTGCCCAGGGTCACAGCTAGTAAGGTCACATTGGAACTCAGATCTTCCTGACTTTAGGCCAGTGCTTTCCATTCACTGCACCACCTGGCTGCCTAAGGCTAGCTATACCTGTTGACATATCTCTTGGCCTGGTCTTTCTGGTAATTAGCTAGAACACAACACACCTGTAGCCCAAACTATACCAATGGTGATTACAGTCATTCCTTCCACATCAAGGGGGTTATGGGGCACAGCGGCCCCATGATCTGGAAAATCTGCGTAAAAATTTTTGACCCTCCCTTCATGCCAGAGAAGGTCTGAATTATTATTGTATTAGAAGATGAAATATGTTGACATTATAAAATAACATACATATATTTTATGCATTTCGAGTTTCCGAACGTGTCCTGGCCTTTGCATGTTGTCTGTGGCTTCTGCAAAACTCCCCAAAGATTCCCATTTAATTTCTTATGTCAACCTACCATATATTGAAACCATGATGGGGAAAGTCGTGTTGTGGAAGAGATAACTGTAGTTGCTCTTTTCTACTTCTGTCCATAAAGTCTATGTTGATTTGGAAGCCCTTAGATTCTAGCTCTTCTGTAGCTCACTCCTAAAATATCTATTTGACACAGTGACAAGACAGGCTAGGTCACCTCAATGTTGAATGTTCCTTAGTATTTACACTAGCAACTTTACACTGTAACTAAGGATTAAGTGTTTTTCCTCCAAATATTTTGGCCTTGGGAGCAGAGGTTTTCTCCTTGATTTCTTTGCAATACTCTTGGAGGGTGGATAGTCACTCTGATACTCTGTGATAAATTCAGCACAACACACCATCAGCCATTAGGGTATGAGAGATAATCTTGCTATAATATGAAGAGATAATAGAGAATCCATGAGGTAGATGGGGCCTTAGAGGCAAAGGAGTTGGGGGCAGAGACTTTCATTTTTGTCTTTCTGTCCCCAGCACCTAACACAGTACTTGGCATATTGTGCTTAATAAGTGTTTGTTGATTGATCGATTGATTATTTTATCTAGTCCTAGCCTCTGACTGATGCAGAGGCTACAATATTCCTAACAAGCAGAAAGTATGAAAATAAAGACTCTCCTTCCTTTTAAACATTTTGTTTGTTCTTTGCCTGATCTTTTCCTCATTAAATAGGCTCTACTATTTGAAAATAGAATGAAGGACTATGAGCACTTTCCAGTCACCCTATATGTGGGGACGTCCATTATTACTGCCTTCTACAACAGCTTTGGGTTCCTGGGCTACCTAAGGTTTGAAGTAGCCATCCATGCTAGCATAACCCAATTGTTGGTGAATCTATTACCATCTTTATTATAGTAAAAATAGTAATAACAGTCATTAGCATAAAGTAGGCACTTAAATGATTATTAGAAATGTTATTTTTTTAAATGGTTTGATGTGTAAATTGTCTTGGTTTCAAGAACTATCCAAAAGGGAAAAAAATCAAGAAGGAGTAAAGTGAGGCTCATTAATTGTAGGTATATGAAAGCTGTCAGCTGTGAACTTTTTTTTGCATGTTACATGATTGATCTGATTTGTTGTAAATTCTTTTTAATAGTTTAAATTGATTGCCTTCATGTATTTTCAGAGTAATAATTAGTCATGTGACCTTAATCTGGTTGTGATTTTGGCTGAAAGATTAAAAACAAACAACCATATCTATTTATGATAGAGCACTGATTTTGTAAAACAGACAATAGCTTAGCAAGGAGCAAAGTTAATGACTGGGATAGAGAGAGGATGATTCCAGGAATATGTAATGAGGATTGTTGTTTTCTCTATTGTTTTCTTTATAGGTTTAATAGTTTTAAATCCTTCTGTGTATAACAGAATGCAGTCATTGGTGCTAGATGCCATGTTTAAAGATGCACTTAGTGACCAGTGCAGCCATCCTTGGATTCTCTGGCTCCGGGCAAAGTCGGATTGATCAGGCTGTCACATGATTGATCAGTTTTTTAACTTGTGGTGTTGGAGGTAGTAAACTATTTGGCCACCAGATGGTGTTCCAGAAACCTGTGAATAGCCTATTCTCCCCTCCCCAGCATCCAATGCCTCTGCTCCCCATCCCTACCCCATTGACCCCAGTACAATGGCAGTCTAGAAGGGTATGTTCTAGAATATACTTGGGTATTGCGCAAAACATAAATTCTCCGTCTTCCATTGGTTTGAGCCACCATTATTCCTACAGTGGGTAAGGTTCATACATTTTCAGTCTTGCCCCCCTTAATTCACAGAATGAGAAAATTCATTGTTGATGGTGATAATAATAATAATAATAACAGAAAATTAATAATAACAACAATTAATAATAACAGCATTTATATAGCGCTTTAAGGTTTACAAAACATTTTACAAATATTACCTCATTTGATCCTCACAATAATCCTGGCAAGTAGGTGTTATTATTATCCCCATTTTTACAGATGAGGAAACTGAAGCAAACAGATTTTTTTTTTAAAGTGACTTGCCCAGAGTCACACAATTAGTAAGCATCTGAGACAGGATTTACACTCAGTTCTTCTTGATTCCTAGGATAGCACTCTATCCACTGAGTCACCTACAGTAAATGAAAATAGACAATTAAAAAACTTTCAGATAATGGCTTTCAATAATGTTGTAGCTGGACAGCAATGATGCATGAGAAGGAGCACCGTGTTTAGGGTCAGAGGATCTGAGTTAAAATCTTGACTCTGTCACTTCCTACCTGTGTAACCATGGACAAATCACTTAACCTTGCTAGGACTCAGATTCCTCTTCTTTAAAATGAAAGGAATTTAACTATATGGGCTGTTATGTAAGTTTCCTCATTTGTAAAAGAGTGGATTGTACTAGATCAGAGATTCTTAACTTTTTGTGTGCATGTTGCAGACCCCTTTGACAGTTTGGTAAAGTCTATAGAACCCTTTTCAAAATAATATTTTAAGTACATAGAATAAAATGCATAGGATTACATTGGAAAACAAATATATTGAAATATAGTTATCAAAATATAAAAATAGTTTTTAAAATTCATTTAAAAATATGAATATGTATGCACTGATCTGTGGGTCTCAAGTTAAAAATTCTTGGACCAGATGAATGCTAAGTATTGCATCAAAGAAAAGGAAAAATGTTGGTTTGAAATGATGAAAGCAAAAAAAAAAAAAAGACTCCAATGCAATAAATAAATATTATAGAACAAAATTAGCCAAAGAGAAGATACCAGATTCAATAACAGCAGCATAGACTCTGGAAGTGAAAGTGGATCTACTTGCAAGACATGTCAATGAGGATAATAAACTCAGTGAGAGAAACAAAGGAAAATCTATCATTTGCAAAGTAAAATGAAACTAAAATTAATAGAGAAAGAACAAAAACCTACAAATCTGAGCTTCAGTGGCTTGAACTAATCAGTGGAGGATTTTAATGAAAAAGCAGATTCTCTGAGGAATAAAATGGTTCTTATACAAGATAAACGTCATAAATGAAAAGAAAAATAACAAAACCAAAAAAAATCAATATAACAGAAAAAAATTAGAATTATATAAATAAAAATCAAATCAAAGAGTCAAATTCTTTAAAGAGGATAAGTTCAATAAGCATCAGTTAATTTTAGTTTTTAAAGAGGAGTAAGCCAAATTACCAAAAAGAAAATTAGAAAGGGAAGTCATAATTAAAGGAGAGAGGTAGTTATTTAAAGTGATTATACAGAGTAATGTGATAGACTACAATCTTGGCAACAGACTTTGTCAACCAGCCTAAATAAGTACAAAGAAACTTATCACTAGTAGGCTCATCAGTTAGTAGTTAGTTCTCTGGTGATAGCAACCCCTGATGCAAAAACATGGCATGACCCTCAGTCCTGGGCAGTACATTTCTGCTTCTTCAGTGACATCTACTTCTTCAGTATTTAGAAAGGGGACACATATTCTTAATTTGTGTTACTTCTCCAGTGATGCCAGAATATATCACTGGAGAACTGAATTGTATCCATCTTTAGATAAATGGAATGGGAAGAAAAACGTTATAGCTAGATGAAAAGATGACTCACTTGCCTTGGAAAGGCAAATAGAGAAATGTCAGCCTCGATTTTACCATATATCCAAAGTCGACAAAAACATTATTTCATGGGACCCTGGGTCATCATATATTGAAGTGCTAATGATAATAATGAATATATTTGAAGCTCATGCATCAACATCTATTGCAGGGGATTGGGAGGTAGGCATAGGGGAGGATGGCAAAGACATATTAGAAAACAAGGTTTAAGAGTAAGAAACAAGAGAGGTGCTGAATGCTGTGTTAAAAGGTGCACTTGGCACCTAGGCAGTTAGGTGTCACAATGGATAGAGCTCCGGCCTTGGAGTCAGGAGGGCCTGAGTTCAAATCTGGCCTCAGACACTTGACACTTACTAGCTGTGTGACCCTGGGCAAGTCATTTAAGCCTGATTGCCTCATCAAAAAGAAAAAAAAAGGTACACTTGGTGACCACTGCAACCATCCTTGGCTTCTCTGCTTCTGGGCAAAATCAGACTGATCAGATAGTCACATGCTCAATCATTTGTTTAGCCTGAGGTGTGGAGGTAATATGCTCTTTGGCCAACCAGATAGTGCTCCTGCAACCTGTGAATAGCCTATTCTTGAACATGTCACTAGAGAAACTGTCACACACAGAAGGATTTAAAACTAAACTCTGAAGAAAAAAGTAGAGAAAACAAAAATTAAATTGTATTTTAACAGAAAGGACTGGTTGTGTGGGAGGATTAATGAATCAGCAATATGTACTGTTAGGCCATTGACAATCATAAGGGCAAATATCACAATCAATACTAAATTAGAAGAAAGAATAAAAATATGAAAAGATTTGGTGCATAATTGAAGCAACTTAAAGCTGACCTATTCAAGTAAGCTGTTGACCTTGAAAATCTGAAAATAGATTCAAATTCAGACATCAATACAGACTTTCCCTATTTCCTAAAGAAGTTTAACCAATGTAAGTTAATCACCGCGATAAGAGCAAAAAACCTGGGAACTATCTCAACCAACAAACACTTGATCTCCTTGCCAAGCCAAGAGATATTTTAGCCAATTTAGAATATAAATTCATTTTTTCCACAATGATAAATTTTTCTTTTTCAATCTTTAAAAGTTTTTAGACAAAACTACTTTTGTGCCCGTTTCATCTCCTAAAGGTTTTCCAGAGCCACCACCTTCACAATGTAGTTCCATTAGCTTTCCCAATTCAGATTTGGGCTTCTTGAACATCTTGATGTTTTGGACAAATAAATTATGGAGAGAGTAAATGGGCAAGTCTTTTCTATGTCTTTTTCCAATGCTGTCTGGAATTAGTTTATTGACAACTTCTTTCAAGTCATTTGTCTTCACCTCTCGGGTCATGATCTCCACCATTTTCTTATAAATTTGACGGACCTGTTGGTGCTGGGCATAAGACGTCTTACCGATCTGGTTGTTGCACTTTTTGATAAAACCAAAGAGGTGGAGCAAGTACCCATCGGTAGTTTTGACATCAACATGGGCTACGATCATGGTCTGCCACTTTTTGACCATGGAACACATCTTGTCTCGGGTAAGGTCCATTCCATGGAAAATTAGTCAAACAATTTTTACCTTTAACATCTTCAGTAATAAACTTGAATTTACAAAAAAAAAAAGAAGAAAAAAAAAAAAGAAAAATGCCTATTGTCCAGGTGATTATATCCAGTTAGATGGAGAATACACAGAGTTAATCCGCCAGTACATATATCTTGGACAGTTGCTATGGATAGACAGTAAACTGGGGTCAGAATTGAATTAGAAGAATAGTCTGGATAGTCTTTAGAAATTGTAATGTTTAAAAATGTTTTGAAATTGGTATCTTAAAATTTCCTTCAGTATCCCTCCTCTTACTCCCAGAGAGTTATTCCATGTAACAAATAATATTTTTAGAAGAAAAAATGAAAAAGAAGAGAACAAAATGAGTAAATGATTGTATGATCAATAATCAAATGATCTATTTGATTAAATGATCAATATGATTGTATCAGTGGACTTGGAATTAAAGAAGAGGTATTATCATGTGTTTTGTTGCTTAACTCTAAGGATCATGGGACCTTTCCATAAGACATGCAGACGAATAATCTTATAGACTACATATTCTCATATTATATTATATATTATGTTGTAATATATATTCTTATAGAATATATGTATATACATAAACACACATATTCTTTATTAGTCCTATTTAGAAGATAACCTAAATCTTTCCCCTTTAGTTTATCTTTTTGTTTGATTCATCCCAAACTGAAAAAAGGGCATTAAAATTTCCTTCCATTATTGTATTACTATCTATGTCTTCTTGTAGTTGTTAATTTTTTTCTTAATGAATTCAGCTGGTAAGGCATTTGGAGCATATATATGTTTAATATTGATTAATACTAGTATTTTAATAAATAATTTAATATTTATTGTTGTTGTCAATGATCCCTTTCAGAATAATGTAGTTTCCTTCTTTTTCTCTTACTAAATTGTGAATTTTTGTTTTTGCTTTGTCTGACAGCAAGATTGCAACTCCTGCTTTTTTGGATTAATCTGATATTTAGTAAAAATTGTTCCAGATGCTCATTTTGAGTCTGTGTGTGTCTTTTTTTAAATGTGTGTTTCTTTTAAGCAACAAATTATGTGATTCTGTTTCCTTTCCAGTCTATTACTCTTTTTCCTTTCAGTGAGTTATTTAATCTATTCACATTTAAAGTAGTAAGAGTTAGGTTTATGCTTCTAAAATTAGGATTATTTTTCCTCTCTTCCTCTGTAAAGATAGTACTTTGACTCCAATTATTTTTGCTTAATCTATTTTAAGGCAATCCTATTCCCACCAGCTTTCTCCTTTTCATTCTCAAGCCCCTTCCTCTTTGCCCCCCACCCTACTAGTTTTGCAGTTTTACTTAACATTAATTCCTTTTTCTTTCTTCCTTTCATCTAAGTACTTATTTCTTCCCCCTTTCTTTCCCTCAGTTAAGTAGTTGATTAAAATTCCCCTTCCTGTCATTCCCTTCAACTTGTTTTATTTGCTTGTTTTTAATTCCATTTTATGTGCCTTTTTTTTAAAAAAAAGGATTTCTTCACCTTGTTCTTTTCATTCATTTCTCTTCCTTTTCTTTCAGTTCTAGACTTTTATTCTTTGATTCATGCCCCTTATTCTGATTTATTCCTTATTTAGTGTCTGTGATCTTAGAAATATCAATTCCTGCAGAATATTGTTCCATGGTGGGAATTTTCCTGTGACCTCAATTATACAGGTAATTACTACCCCTTACCTTCCCTGGAATAACCCCCTCCCCCCATTCAACATGAAATCTTCTCTCTAGCTCCATCCCTTCCCACTCTTTTGATATCAATTGCCCTCAGGAACTCTGATTTCCTTTCTCTTGAGGCAGAATGCTGTCAATGGAGGCACAGTACTCTCTGAGTACCAAAGCACTAAAGATTATACCCATTGTAAGAGACCCATCTCTCATTACAGAATATCTTTCTCCCACATGGGAGTATTCTTTGGTGGGATTCCTCTCCCATTCCAAAATAAAGATTTTCTCATTTGTTGCTATTGTTCAATCATTTCAGTCATGTATGACTCTTCTTGACCCTGTTTGGGGTTTTCTTGGCAAAGATGCTGAAGTGGTTCTCCATTTCCTTCTCCAGCCATTTTACAGATGAAGAAACTGAGGCAAATGGGGTTCAGTGACTTACCCAAGGTCACACAGCTAGTAAGCATCTGAGGTCTGATTTGAACTCACGAAGGTGAGTTTTCCTCACTCCAGGCCTGGCACTCTATCCACTGTGCCATCTTTCTTTACCTCTGTTTTGATTCCTTCCTTTGCTACCTTACCTGTTCACCTGTAGTCCCTTTTCTTCCCAAAAGACTACTGGAGTTCTTTTCCCTTCATTGTTTACTATTGACTAATTTGGGTACATCACACATCCTTCTTTATTCTCTTCCTCCCTTCTTCCTTTTTATGTACCCTCCCATTCTTCTTTAGTCCTACAAAAAATAATGATTCACCTGTAGGCCGGATGTTACAAGGTTTAGTCTGTAATGTTTTGGTCTTCTTTCTTCACCATCAGTTCTTCCTGTTATATTCCACTTTCACCCTCATTTCCTTGTGTATTTTAAAGAAAGAAATTTCTCAATAGTTCTATTATTTTGTTGTCTTTATCATTGTTGTTTTTAACTCCTGAGGGGTCTTTCATTCTCTAGGGGTTTTTTTCCTCTTTTTTTTCCCTCTGAGGTAATTGTTTTCCTGTGTCTTGCTTCATTGCTGAATTTTTTTTTTTTACTCTTGTTTTCTTTTTGTTGTCTAAGCTGTTTGCAAAGCAAATAATCTGCTTGTGTCTGACTTTCTTTAAATGAATGCTCTTTTTTTATTGAATGTCCATCTACTTCATTGATGATTTGGCTCATTTGGTAGAGTATATTACTTTGGGTTATATCTTGAATGTCTTTACTCTTCACGTTATTCTATTCCATTTTACAGTTTCTGGTGGGTATAGAATAATCTAGTATATGAATTTATCTTCTTTTATATTCAAAGGTCTTTTCTCTTTGTTGTTTATAGAATTTGTTGTTTGTCTTTGGAATTGTTCAAGGATCTTGGAGTTTACAATACAGGGACTTTTTCTGGAGGTGATCTGTGGATTCATTCATCTGGCACTGTTTGCTGTGTTGAAAAGTTCTGAGAAGTTTTCTTATATTATTTTTCATATTATGGCGTTCAGGGTTTTTAATCGATCATGTTCTTCTGGGAGAACTTTAATTAAGTTGTCTCTATGTTTCTTGTCTTTGAGATCAATATGTTTTGCTTATGTAGAGATTATATACATATATGTATGTATGTATTTAATGATATTGCCTTTTGTTTCTTTTCTTCCATATTGTCCTTAGCTTCTGTATATTTGCATTCCTAACCTATTGTTCTCTCTCTCTCTCTCTTTTTGTGTGTGTGTGAGAATTGCCACTATCGATTCTTTTTTCTATGCTACCAAATTTTTTCTCCTATGCAGACCATTGATGCTGCTTTCATGATTCTTATAACCCTCTTGGAATCATTCAGAAACATCCTACTGTGGTTCCATAGTCTCTTGAGGAATCCATAGGGTCCTCTGCCTCATTAGGTATTCATTTATTTTCCTTTGTCTTGCAACATTTATTCATAGGTATCTGGACTCAGATCATTTGGAGAACATATTCTCTTTGGTTATTAATAGCTTGCCTATTGGTTTATCTGTTTGTGCTTAAAGTCTTTAACTGAATTTTCTTGCTCCTGAGATCTTTGGTAATTTCAATATTTTTTTACTTATATTTCTCTACCCCAGACAATGAGTTTTCTAGCACAAGAGCCATGTAGATTACCTTGGAGTCTTATTTAGTAATTATGAAAGGGAAGGTAGAACTTGTTCTCTTTCTCTGCCCTCCTGCAGCTATGTATAAATTGCTACCTTCCTTACACACATCAAAACAGGAAAAGCAGAGTCAGAGTAACAGTGGTCAGAACGATGACAACGGAGGCAAACCATCCACCATTGCTATTATTCTTGTTATTTCTTCACTAAATTCTTATTCTGGTGCCTCATTGTGGCGTGGCAAGGACCCTCAGTTCTTGATAGTCGCACCAGCCATAACCAAGCTCCAGCAAAGCTTTTGAACAAAGCTATGTCTGTCATTCAAAGATCAGCCTAGCTCAATTAAAAGGGGTTCATCAACAGAAGGTTGGCTACAGGGGTGTGCTGGATCTAGCTCATACCAGCTTGTAAACCTAGTTTTAAACTTTCAGCGTGAACATTCATGCCTTAAAAGGGCAAAAAATACAAATAAGGGCTTGATTCATTGCTTTGTTGATTGTCTACACTTAAGAAAGTGATGGAGAAAATGCTAATAAAGCAGATTAAACTTAAAAATGTATCATGCATACACTTCCCCTCTAGAGAGCCAAATGTTCAAACATTTACCAGAATACCCCTGCCTGGTTGGAGACCAGCTGATGATTTTTTCAGCCGTAGTAACTTATGAAGATGACCTGCTAAGTGATAAATAGATTATGATCTACTTTGGTGGAAGGAGTACCCACACTAATGAAATCACAGACCCCTGAAATATTGAAGCAAATATTATGGTTACTCTATACCTAAGGTCTTACTCTGATGCCTCTTTGGGGCTGAGTTCCTGAAGAATGTGCCAGCAGAACATCATTTCTAATACTTAGCTGAAGAGACTTCAAGTACAGACCCATCAAGTGTTTTTATCTGAGGACCAGTCTAGCTAAATATGGAGAGACTTCTCTTTAGGTTGTCTATAGCGTGATGAAAGTTTTAGCCACAGCAATTCTGAGGAGAGGGCTGAGCTGATCAATGTTTAACAATTGGCTCTCAAAAAAAAATTATGAATACTATACTTTTGGGTTTAATCAGCTGTTCAATTAACTGTTCATAACAGTTTTACCACCACCCTCTTAAGTCTAGACAAAAAAACAAAAAACAACAAACAAACCGTAAAACAGATCAAGCCCTGATGTGTAGATTGCTGATTTCTGAGGTATAAACACTCACACTGAAAATTTAACAATCTGACAATCAGTAGCCACAGAGCCGGCTCCAACAACATCCCTG